ATTGGTGGCCGGCTAGCCTTTTTTGCCCACAAATGGCAAGCCACCATCACGGACCACTGGGTCCTAAATACCATCAGATTCGGCCTATCCCTAGAATTCCTCTCAACACCCCTGAACCAGTTCATTCCTTGCCCATCTCCAAAAGATCTGATCAAGAAGAACCTCATCAAGGAGGCCATCTAACACCTCCTGGACATTCAGGCTATAGAACCAGTAGAAAGAGATCAGTGGGGACAAGGATTCTATTCCATCCTGTTCATAATCCCAAAGAATTCGGGGGGTGGAGAGAAATACTAGACCTAAAGAGTCTGAACAGACACCTGGAGTACAAAGAATTCAAAATGCAAACCCTTCGCTCGATATTAGCAAGCATCAGGACATCAGGACATCTATGATGTCCATAGATCTGACAGAGGCCTACCTTCACATTCCCATAGTTCCGAATCACCGGAGGTTCCTCAGGTTCTACCACACAGGTCAACACTTCCAATACAGGGCCCTACCTTTTGGACTTTCTTCAGCTCCCAGGGTGTTCACAAAGGTATTGGCAACAATCGCCGCGCACTTGAGAACAATTCTGGTGTGCATCCAATGCTATCTGCATGACCTTCTCATCCAATCCTCATCGGCCCAGACAGCACAGTCAGACCTGGCACTGACTCTGAAAACCCTTCAAGACCATGGGTTCTCAGTAAACTTTCAGAAGAGTCAGACCGTTCCCTCAAACCGTCTTCTTCATCTGGGAGCGGTCATAGACACACAAAAGTGCATGGTCCATCTCCCTCAGGACCATCAATGCAGCATTCGAACCCTGGTCAGACTCATCCAAAGGAAACGGTCCTCAACACTGGCTACACTCTCACAGCTGCTAGGAAAGATGGTGTCATGCCTCGCAATCGTACCTTGGGCAAAGCTACACTCCAGAGAGCTCCAGTGGTTCCTACTTCCGTTCCAAAGAGTGGGGATAGGCTCCTCAAACCAAAGAGTGAAGGTGCCACCAAAGGTCCTGAGGTCATTCCAGTGGTGATCCTCCCCAGCGATGGGGAAGGGACACTTGTTCAGGGAAGCCAACCGAGTCACCCTTAAAACAGATGCCAGCCTATTCGGCTGGGGAACACACCTGCAATCACAGCTAGCACAGGGTCAATGGTCAAAGAAAGACCTAAAGCACAACATAAACTGGCTAGAACTCAGAGCCATACACCTGACTATCTGTCACTTCCACAGCACAGTGGCGCATCGACACGTGCTCATACTCACAGACAACGTGGCAGCCAAAGTGCATGTGAACCAACAAGGAGGCACGCGATCCAGGGCCCTCATGAACGAAGCACAAGCGCTGGGAACCTGGGCAGAAAACAACCTAGCCTCCTTCAAGGCCGAGCACATCTCAGGAGAAGCTAATCTCCAGGCAGTCTTCCTGAGCAGGACAACGATAGACCACTCAGAGTGGAGCCTGCACCCTGCCCTCTTCAGAGAGGCAGCAGAGAGATTTGGCCATCCAGTGTTGGATCTGTTTGCCAGTCCAAAGAAACCTCAGATTCCGAGGTTCTTCTCTCGTTTTCCGACACCAGGAGCAGAGACAGCGGATGCACTTCGAGGCCACTGGCCGAAAGGACTGCTGTATGCATTCCCATCTCTTCCTTTGATACAAGCAACCATCAGGAAGATATTGCAGGAGCAAGCGGAGGTAATACTCATTGCACCGCGCTGGCCAAGACGGCCGTGGTTTGCCAATCTCGTAAACCTATCTACATCTCCACCGTGGAGGATTCCACACAACCAAATTTCCCTCAACCAGGGATCCCTGCTACATCCAGACCCACAGTGGCTCCAATTGACCGCCTGGTGCTTGAGCGGAGTCTCCTAGAGAGAGACAACTTCTCACAAAGAGTCATTAAGACTCTCCAGGCCTCTAGAAGGCCTACAACTAACAGGATCTAAGATTCCACTTGGAAAAATTATTGCAGTTGGTGCAACAGGCAACAACTAGACCCATGCAACATCTCTATCCCAGATATCTTAGACTACCTAGCGGAAGGCCTGGATAGGGTGTTAGCACCCAATACAATTTGTAGACAGGTGGTTGCCCTATCAACCATTCTTACCTACGGCAATTCTGAAACTTTAGCCAGACACCCAATGGTGCGATCCTTTGTAAAGGGTGCATCTAACAGCAGGCTACCTGTGATGCACAGATACCCTTCCTGGGATCTACCTAAGGTCCTACAGGCCATAACCTTACCTCCATTTGAGCCTGCCAGGACCTGTGACCTACAGTACCTGACCCTTAAGGTCGCCTTCTTAGTCGCTGTTACCTCAACAAGACGCATCTCAGAACTAGCAGCCCTGTTAGTGAGGGAGGACCTTTGTACCTTCCACACGGACAGGGTGGTGTTATGTTTGGACCCCTCCTTCGTTCCAAAGGTCAATTCCCTATTCCACAGAGCACAGGAGGTGGTGCTACCAAACTTTTGCCCCGAACCATCCCATGAACTGGAGCACAAGTGGCACACCTTAGACGTTCGCAGAGTTTTAAAGCAGTACATCAAGCGACCGGCACCCTTCCGTAGATCGGAAGCACTGTTTGTCTCCTTCCACTCTCACACAAGAGGTCAGAGGGTCACTGCATCAACAATCGGTAGATGGATTAAAAGGTGTATAGCGGAGGCATACAGGGGACGGTCCTTGACGGTCCCCAGATGAATCACTGCACATTCCATGTGCAGTGCTGCAACCTCAGCAGCATGGGCAACTCAGGCTTCGATTGAAGAAATATGTAGAGCGGCGACGTGGATGTCGCCTTCCCCTTTTATAAGACACTACAAATTAGACAGATTCGCATCTGCGGAGGCCTCCTTTGGCAGGAGAGTACTCCAGTGCACAGTATCAGAGAGTGGGACACAGGCCCAGACGGCATCCCACCCACAAGGACAGTGAGGCTTTGGTATGTCTCGTCACGCTGGAGAAGGGGCGTTGGTCTTACCTGAACGCCTTTTCTCAGCGTGATGATGGAGAATCCACTCCCACCCTTGAGGCCAGTCAGGTCCTGTGAGGGGAGAGGATGGAGTCAACACAAGAAAACATAGCCAACTAGCTTTCGCCTCGTCGAGACTGGGTCAGGGAGGTCCCAGGAGGAGAGGCGGAGCAAAATTGGACGACTAGTCTGCGGGCAGAAGATGAAGTTAACCCATTGGTGGATTCTCCATTGTCACGCTGAGAAAAGGCGTTTAGGTAAGACCAACGCCCCTTTTGTATGTCCCTTTTGTGTTATCTCTTTATTTTTAAAGCCTTATTCAAATCTTTTTACTATCTATTGATAAAATTTTGTTTAAAGTTTTGTTTATGTTTGTTTGCTTAATATAAGCCCTAACCCCCAAAATAAGCCCTAGTTTTGGGGTGAGGCGCATGCATAAAAATCAAGCTAGGGCGGGGATGGGGGGTGGAGCTGCCCCATGCACTCCACACCTGCTTACCTTAGGACTGCTGTAGCCAGGCCTCCTATGGTCAGCATCGCACCGGTGCCACTGCTCGTGGCAGGATGCCACATGGCTCGTCACACTGATGGCGCTGTTCACCTACTGGTGCCTCTTTTGGAGGCAAAAAAAAAAGGCTGGGTCTTATTCTTGGGAAAACGTGGTACTTATTGGCTGCTTGTTCTTAGCCTAATTTTTGCAAAGCTGTCTTCTATCTGCCATTCTTCCCCAGAAATTTGAAATACTATACTAGCACACTCAATACAAACCTTAATTCTTCTAAGAGAATGAATACATTTTAAGCTACCTCAATGGAAACTGTTAACTTTGAACTTACTTAGAAATATAGTGCTGAAGTCGTTTGTTTCACATGTAAAAAATGAGTATAAAATTATAAGCAGCAGTATATTGTGATGTTTCTGTATTTGTAGCTTTATTTGTGTAAACTTGAGAAAGCAGGTGGCACTTTCCATTGCATAAGAATTTTTGCTGAATTGCCTGCCATGTTCTGTAAATAATACAGTATTTGATTACAAGAGAATTTGGAATGTACTGAGTGGAAGGTTACATAACTTTGATGTGAGTTATTATTTTGGTTAATGAACAGAAGCCAATAACTCTGCAATGCAGTTTTGTCTTGTTCCTGCTCAGCAATATATAGAGCAGGCATGTCAAACTTGCAATGTCATGTGATGTCGCGCAACGTATCGGGCTGGTTTTGCCATTGCTGGCACTGGGGTGGGCGCGACTTCCACGTGACACATCCAGTCCACAGGCCGGCAGTTTGACACCCCTAATATAAAGCAATAACACAAAAGCAAATCTCTTGAAATCAGTACAAGTTCATCTACTGATTTTCTACCATTTTACTATTGAAATTCTGTATCATACAACCCATGCTGTTCTGGAATATTCTGTAGGAAAAAAGGGAATTAAAAGACTGCAAACCATTAGAGCCACGTCTGCTAAGTATCTTTTAAGATATAAAATCTGTTACTTCCCTCTTTTTCCTCCAAACTTAGACATATTATTTACAGATTATTTATTATATAAAGATGCAACATATCTGGTCAGAATAGCATGATGAGAGTGTCTAAACTCTACCTCAGATGAGGGATCTTTGTAAAAGAACCTTGGGATATCTAGTGGAGTGTATTGCCACAACAAATGAAGCATATATATGGTTTCCTAGCTCTTGATTTACAAAAATGCTATACCATAAAGAGGTCTTCGCTTGGTATGAAGGTGAGCAATCTTTTGCAGATCAAGGGCAACATCTAATACTGAAGGGTTAAGAGTTGCCTAATTGGTAAGGATCGATGGGGAAATTTCCAGATTTTTGAATTTTAGGTTTATTAGGATTCATATGATAAGGTGAGGGATTTTTTTTTTTGCATACTTTCAACATTGCAGGAGCTATAGGAGTTTTTGTAAATTCTTATCAGAGGGGATTCAGGCCCCACAAGTCGCTCATCTTTGATTTAGTATAGGTGATCCTAGTTCCACCAAAGAAAGAACTATATATATATTTTAAAAAAGGTTTATTACTTTTATGTACAATAGTTACAGAATACTGTACAAAAGAAGATAGTGTCGTTGCACAACAAACAACTTAGGTTTCACATTCAATTTGAATGTCCCTGCAAGTACCGTATATGCCGGTGTATAAGGCGATTTCCGCAAGCGCTAAAATCGGCGCCAAAGACGGGGGTCGTCTTATACGCCGAGTCGTCTTATACGCCGGAAATACTGGTAGTTTCCGGCATATAAGACGACGTTCTAGGAATGAGGCTCGGCGACTAAGACGGGGGTCATCTTATACGCCGGGTCGCCTTGTACGCCGGCATATATGGTAGTGTCAAAATATCCACTATACCTGCATGGTATAGAAGCAGCAATCCAGTTTTATAGGTTTCTCCAGCATAATTATTATTAAAATAATTGGCTAGATTTTTATTAAAAAAGAGTTCAAACAGACATATTGCACCTGTCCCCCAAAAAACCTTCCACTGCAGTTAGTTAATGGTACATTCTACATATGAGCCTCGTTCTATATCACACTGCTAGATTTTCTACCAGTTTTTCTTCACCTTGTCTATTCAACAGCTGCCTTCAACAGATGTTTTGGACCCATAACTATGTAGGCTCTGATCCAAAGCTAAATCTGCAAGTGGTACCTTTTTTTAATTGAGCTTGCACATTCTTGATGGCAGTAGTGGAAAAATAGGAAGTACTTAAAAACATGTGAGAAACATGGTATTTGTATTATTTATATATTGCAGGGCCTAGTTAATGGTGCAACTGCAATTTAAAGCATTTATAAGGCTCATTAATGACCCACTATGTGCCAAATAGTGACCACTGGTTGAGTGTTAAGGTGTCCTTAGAGGCGATGAGAAATAGTATGCACTTGTCTTGCATCCTGTTTCCTCAGCCATTTAAGTTTCAATCTAAATGTTACACTTAGTTCTTGCTGCTTGGCAATTTCACATTATGTTCATATACTGTATTTCTTGAATGGATAAGTGGTAGTGTTAATCCATAGTTTGCACTTGAGGAATTTCACATCATCTTTTTGCTCATTCATTGGTTGAATGAGCACATTTACATCGTTATTGTGGGAAACAGTTTGTGAGGAAATTAACCAGAGCAGACATTGTGCTCAATCCTGTAGTAATGTGCAGCATGGCTTCAATTTGAATTACAATACCACGTGGGTTTAATTTGATTTTCCTCAATTGATTTGTAAAAATACTCTGCGTGTCCAAACTCACCCCCAATGCGTCCAGTTCAAGTCCATGTGAAAATATTGGCATAAAATTAGAGAATTGTTTTTTCTGCCCATAGGTCTGATTAATTATGAGCAGATCTTTAAGTGAGATAGATATGGACAGAAACAAAACTTCCAATGACAAGCTAATTATTCTCAAGGTTTCTTAACACTTATAGGCAACCCCTGCAGGCTTCATTACTCTGATTTAGTGTAAGATTTTTTTTCTTCACTCAGTGATGTGGAACAGATGTTTGATTGGCCACACCTTGAGATACATTATGACTAGGCCAATGGTATTTTTGCTGTTCAGAAATCAGCCCAATTGGACTTTAATCATCCAGATAAGTGTGCATAGCACTACAACCTTAAACATTTGTTAATAAAACCCAATTAACTTAGTATATTGCTGACGTCAGTGAGCCAATGTTGCAGCATTCTTATTTAAGGATGCTATGAAATAGACTTAATAGTTTGTTAGGTTTCTTGTTCACCAAGGTTTCCAAAATTGCTGGGCTTGACTTCTGTTTTCATTATTGAATTCTCTAAAACACACTTCTGTTAAATCCTTTTAAATACAGTATACTTTCACAATTATGCGCATATACCCAGTAATGGAGAAATGGTAATTTAAGCACATCTATCACCACTACCTTAAAAACAATCTACATTTTGGGTTGTAACAAGGTTTCTAGATAGTTTGCTCTAGCTTCCAACTCAAAACATACTAAAATATGTTTAAATATTTACAAGATACAACTACATACATTAAAAAATTAAAAGCCAAATGCAAATAGTAGCACGGAAAAACAAACTATAATCTGTAAATAGGAGGGAACGCATCTGAATACTGAGCAGCATGATTGAGATATTGACTTACTACTGATCAAGAAATAAAGCAGGCTGTTCATACACTGTAGTAAAATATTCACAATTAGCCGGAAGAAGGCTTCTTGACAAGTACTGCTAATTAAGAAGAATGGTATATCATCTACAGCAGGAGTGTCAAACTACCGGCGGGATGCACCATGACGTGCCCACATTGCCGGCAATTGAAAAAAAGTCACGATACATTGCGACACGTCATGTGACGTTGCAAGTTTGACACTCCTGATCTACAGAATGACTTTCAACAGGATGTTAAAACAGAGTTGGGAAAGGCTTGAAGTTCTCCAGTTGTTCATCTCCATCAGTTCCCACCAGGAGGGCCACTGATCAGATGGTTGTATATTATAAGCTAAAATTATTTGGAAGAACATAAGCTCCCCTAGGATAAAGTGCAGAAAAATGAAACAAATGGTTTTTTACTCTACATTTACCAGGACAATCAGTTCTAAATAGAATACAGTGGTCAGAATGAGCAATAATCAGAACAGAGAACCCATCCAGACCTTTAATGTGCGTTGAGAGAAGTATGCTGCTGGCCCTAGTCCCACGCCCCCAATGAACATGAAAGGGGCGTAACATCTGTACATACAAGTCTTCATTATCTGTTCAAAGCCCCATTTCTTCTCTTCCTGTTTGAATATGGATAGAGTCTGAATAGGAATTTAGCATCAGATTTGATAAGATGTAGTAGCCATTTTGAGCTGGCTGCAATACATTGAAACTGACTTCAAGTGGTGACAGTGACTGCATTGGATTTCCTTAATAATGTGCTGGCTGGGGATTGTGGGAATTGAAGTCAAGGCTACACTGGAAAAATCCAACAGATGTGTCTTGAACACATGTTCAAAGGGCAAATCCTTTTATTGTCTGAGTTTCTAGAGTCAACTCAGAGTCTTCCTAAAGCATTAAGCTGCTTTTATAAATGAGATTTTTAAAAAGATGCTTTATACAGACCAAATTGTATACTCTTGGTATCCAAATATTCTTTTTTTAAAAAAAAGAAAGAAAAAAGTAATAATGATGGCATTTCATATGTAACAGGTACAATTTTCCAGTCAATTTAAAAACTTGAAGGCTGTTGGATCACTGGACCAGCTTCACATCCACTTAAATCGCCTCTGATCTGGCCATCCTCTGACCTCATATATGTAAGGAACACTGTAACAGTGGCAAATGTTGCAGCATTAACAGGGAAAGCTCGAAGCAAGGTGGATGTAAGACCCCTTGTGAACACCCTTGGCCCTTCATCCCGGTAGCTTTTTCTAACGCAGTCCAGAATACCCTGGTACCGTACGACTCCTCCAACTCCATCAGCCTGAAGGCGGGACTTAATCACATCCACAGGATAAGTAGAGAGCCAGGAGACTATGCCAGACATGCCTCCTGCCAGAAGCAGTTTGGGAACAATGTAACTATCTTCCGCCTCACACCCCAGATACCTTGTTAGGCAGTCATATGTTAAAAAGTAGAAACCGAAGCTGGGGGTCTCTCTCAGAAATGTGGAAACCATTCCTTTGTTGATGCCTTTTAGGCCCTCCTTTCGATAGATCTTCACCAAGCAGTCCAAAGAGTTTTTGTAGTTTTTGGACTTCAATTTGTATTCCCCTGTTCCTTGCAGCTGCATCCGTGTCTTAGCCAGTTCCATAGGACAGCAGATCACACACTGAATGGCGCCTGCTGCTGAGCCTGCAAGGAACTGATGTAGAGGTGTGTCCTTTCCAAGAGCACGGAGAGCATTCCCTTGAACGCCAAAGACAAGGGCATTAATGAAGGTAAGGCCCATCATAGGCGACCCAATACCTTTATAAAGTCCAAGCGCCTAGATGAAAACAAAGCACATAAATAGATGATGAGCAGGAATTTTAAGACTTTTCTCAAGCAACAAATAATAAAACTGTTAACATTCTGCATTTTTTTTATTTTGTACATCAATAGATAGATCTGAATTGTCCTTTAGGCATGGCATTCCTACAATGAGACAAGACAACTTGTCATACCCAAAAATCACACCCCAAAGATCTGCTCTTTTTTCAGCAGCAAACAATTGAATATTTGTGTGCAAATGCCAAAAATACTCCACAATCCCCAAGTTCACACATTTCAATGTGCAGCTGTTTTCAAAAGTTCTCCTATGTCTTACCCTGTATTACATTTTTTTTTACACTTGGCAGCTACTTATTTAATATCAGAATATGAACAAGGCAAATTATCACTAATTCCATCTCCCTAATCTGGATTGGACTCATGTTCTAATAGAATGGAGAACATTAATGATCAGGAGATGAATCAGCAACAGTTACCACCAACTGCTGAGCACATCCCTTTAGGAATCAAATGCCCATCTTTATATAGCTATGAGGAACCCAAGGATCGTTCCTATATGAATTCTGTAGTTTTCATCTTGCAAATGAGGAACCGAGATCAATAGTAAAGCAGCAGGAAAAACAGCAATCTTGTATGAGCTTTGTTTGGGGGCATGAATGGGAATAATTCAGCATTTCTCCCAAGCCTTCCAAAATTTTGAGGCACAGATGGATACTGATGAAATTAAGCATCCTGCCCTAGAACAGTAACACATTCATATGCATGGTCTACAGTAATTACTATGCACATCTCTTGATATACTCTAAACTTGTGCCAGTTATTCAATATTACTGCAATATTCCCACACATCAATACTTCTGTTTACAACTAGATAGGAGTGAATTTGCATTTATCCACTACCTGCTAGGAGTATCAAGCATCCACACAATTTGGATCATTAAACTAAACTTAAATATGGATGGAATGGTCTCAATTCATGGCTTTGGATAACAAATGAAGACTAGTGCTACTGCTGCTGTTATGGTTTTGTGGCTTGTTGTGGATTTTACTATCCTATACTATGATATTTTCTAGACCACTTGTAGATAGCTCTTCCTCCACTTAAGTGCAAACATGCACATTCATTCAGGATGTTACTTACAGATTCTTGCTTTATGATAGACTGGAAACAATGTACAGTCCCACGGTAGAGCGGCTTCTCCACATTTTGAACTTGAAGGCGTACCTATAAAATGTAATTAGAATTTACTGACATGGCAAAAAATCAGCAGATAGTATGATAATACCTTTGGGTGCAAACACATAATGTTGCTATGTACATTTGCAGGCATGATGCCACAGGAAATTAAAGAGAACAGTTTGTGTTTTGGGAGCCACTCAGATTTATGTTATATCCTATATAAGTGGTGGCAAACCTATGGCACGCGTGCCAGAGGCGACACTCAGAGTCCTCTCTATGGGCCCGTGCACCATTGCCCCAGCCCTGCCTCCCCATGGCCCCCTCCTCACCAGCAGCCCCCCCCCAGAGAGTCACCCCCAGGCACGGCCCACGCGGAGCAGTGCAACCAAGGACATGGCAGCCAGGCAGCGGGGACAAGACTCCGCCCTCGCACCCTGTCGCATGCAGATAATGCTGTGGGGTGCGGGCGGAGGCCGTGGCCACCATCATGCTGTGGGGGGCTATGAAGGCGGTGGGTGGCCTTGCAGGCAGGCGGGGGCGGGGGGCAGAGTGGGAGGATGGGGCAGTTTTGGGGCATTTGGTCTCTAAAAGGTTTGCCATCACTGTCCTATATGGAATGGTTACTTGCTAGGATGTTAAATTAAGATCTTCAGTAAGGCAAATCCTCATTTGGCTGTTCAGTTATTGCTGGTTTAATTAGCACATCTGATATTTCTAAAGAATTAAAAGTTGCTCATCTATCGAACCATGAATAGTTATGCTCAAAATGTATCAGTCGTAAAAGAAAATGTTCCCCAGGCATAGTGTTAGATTTTTTTATAGGACCATAACTGCAAGACTTTTACAAGCTTAGGTTTGCAACTTAGATAAGCCAAAAATCTAAATAATCTTAGTACAATAAATTCCAGTAACCTATACATTAGATTTACAAGGTCAGAAAATCCTGTTTGGAGGAACAATTTGGAACCTGGATATTTTAAAACTATATAAGGATCTCAGAGACTAATGATAGTTTAAACCTTAAAAGCATTGCAAGTAAGAGTTCCATTGTCATTTCTTAATAAAAATCAATATAACGTTATGCTGGTTCTAGCTTTTCTTATCTATTTTGTAAAGGTGAGTAGCAATCACATGTTGGCAATTTAAAATACTAAAAACATACCAAGAGTGGGCTCAGAAATTATTCCAGTAGCAATACCTAAAATGCGTTAACACAAAGCAGTCATAGCTATATGGGGAAATGAAAAATGGATACCTAATTTAATGAAAGGCTGAAACAGAATCCACAATTTAAGAGGCGTTTGTTTGTTAGCACAGGTATACAAACTTTAAGCACAAAAGGGGACAAAGAAAAACAGTAGAGAACAAATTGCAAAAGTTAGGCTTTTCTTTTTTAAAAATATAGATTATATTTAAAGGCATTACATACCCCACACCCTCCACTCTAGAAACATTTTAAAAACTAAAAAAAAGGGAAGGTACTTTTTGCTCGTTTATAAAAATTTGAACTAATCATAAATGTTGGAATAAATTAAGACCGAGAGAAACAGAATGTTCACCTGGTCTATACTTACTAGGTAACTCTCCCGTGATGAGGCTTATCTGTCATCTACAACAAAGTAACACTTTTGCTGTTAATGAAGACAGCCCCTAGCTCAAAAAGTAAAGTCAGTTAAGTAACAAAGCAATTGTACACATTACATCAACAAAATGGGGCAGGAGTCTCCATTTGAAGAGCTGGCTCAAAAACAGTTCAGCATCTTCCCCATTTTACAAGCCCTACCCTCCCGGTCCCACAAACCCAGCCTGCCTAATCTTTACAACTACCTGAAAGTTATTAAACTTTGCTTTAAATTCCATTACATTTATTTATTTTTTAAAAATAGCATTCAAGTGAAAATAGTGCCTAGCTACAGTATTCAGCTTCATCAGGAAAAGACTGTCATATTAGGTAAGGGTTAACAAACATTTAATTCTACATAAATGTCATTTCATGAAATCAGTTGTTTTATTTCTGACAGATTAAAATAAAGCAATGATATAATCCTGTCCATATTTTCTTGAAAGCTAATCCCACAGTGGGGTGTGCTTTCAAATAAATATGCATAGAATCTGTCTGCAAAACAGATTCCCCCTCCTCAGTGTGAGTAGCCATATCACTGTTCCTTTAACAACACAATAGCAAGCTAAGCATTTAAGATAAATGCTTTATAGGTATGTATATTTATAAAAGAAATTATGTTTTCATGTTAAAATTGTGTAAATTATAAAAGTCTCTCAGTGATTTGTGATAAATTAAGAAACTTCCCAAATATGATAGAGTTTTCTTACAAAGCAAATGTATTGAACATGTTTCCAAGATTGCATATAGCTTGATGCCCACACACAGTTTGAGGGAATGTGATGCAATAATTGTTTTTAAGCTAAGATAGCCAGTGAATATCCACTTAAACATCCCACGATACCATGTTTGTGATAGATGAAATATAAATACATCAAAACAATTAAACTGAAATAAATTTCAAGAGTGCCAACTCATTCCATGAACCTGTCTATTATAATATATACAAGATTAAGTGTAACTCCTAAAATGTACTCATTCTGATAGGAAACAATGTGAAAAGAAGTTCAGTGCAATTTAATAGAATGAATTCATAGCAAAGATTATTTCTTGATATGAAATAACTAGAAAATGCAGTTATAAGCCAACAAGCTACATTTCTCAAGGCTTATCGTGCTAACTATTCTTTTACCTTTTAAGGTTATTTACAGAATGTTATTCAGCACATTTTCTCGTCAAAAAGGTTACATAATTCTCATACAAGCTGAAATACTTGGATTTAAGTCAATTTATTTTAATGTATATTCTTAGCATTTAGCTTCACCCTGCACATTCATATTCCAAAATAAGCCCCACATATTTTAGTGAGGGATTCCCTGAATTAAAAATGCAAACATGTTTACAACTTAAAATCCCTTTACTTCCATTATTAGTATCCATTTCACAGTCGTTCTGAATACAATTTGACTTTGGTACAGGTGCAGATATTACCCAAATTCTAATTTTGTTCTTGACTAATAATCTACTATTGAATTCTCCAACAGCAGACAATATATACCCGTGTCTTAAACAAGAAAATAAAAATTGTCATTGAAAACTCACAACATCTTTTCTTGGATGGAAAGAAGCACATTAAATCAGCAAGACTGTTTCATCATGCAGCAAACAGTCATCTGGTCAATATAATTAACAAATTAATTGCTTCAAATGCAAATAAGTGTACCAGATAAAGCAGGATTAAGGAAAGTGCATTTTAAAATTTTATTTTAGTGCAAATGAGTTATGTACACTCAAAACTATATCTAGGATTTATTAGATGCCACTGAACTATCATATTAAAAATATGGTTGAAGGCAGATATCTCAGAACACTTTTTAAGTGCATCAAACAAGGGATGATATAATCTGGAACTCTAGATGTTCCATTTCTGTGGAACGTTTAATGCAATATGGGACATAACTGCAATCTATTGGAAGGTCTCTAGGAGGTATTTTACTTAGATGACCTCAAACATCTAGATCCCTTCCCTATTTGTAAGGGCAAGTATTGCCTTCAGTCTAATCACATATTCTAAGAAAGTTTGTGAAAAGTAAACCCACCTTAACTGTATCAAATGGATGTCCTACCAGTACACCAGCAGCACCTGAAATAAACAGAGAGGACAATGAGACCATGACATTGAGACCATTATGTAGAATACAGAATAAGGAATTTGCAAAATAGAAATATTAAATACAGTTTAGTGCAAGGATTAGGATTAGGGTTAATCCATCTATAGCAGGTGGTGAAATAGATCAGAGATTGAGAGAAAATAAAAAGGATATGATAATCTTAAAATTGCAAGTAAATAAAAAAAAATGCTAACACAACAAGACCAATAAAAAATAGCAGTAACTAGGGGGGCCAACATTCCCACAATTGTAACAATAGCACAATTGCACTCAGGTCACATATTCCACCTAAGCTAAAGCCTTGGGGAAAAAACTAGGCCTTCAAGGCCTGTTATAAGGACCACGAGGTCAGGGCTGCTCAAACCTTGGGGGGGGGGTATTCCCAGGGGATAGGCAGGCTTTGTGACAGAGAAGGCATAGCTCCTGAGTCCCACCAAATGGCATCTCTTTAAAGATGGTTCCTGGAACATACCCACTCTGATAGATGTTACTGGGAGAAAGGCAGTCCCTTAAAAAAAACAGGCCCTATGGCATGAAAGGCTTCATAAGTAAAAAAACCAGCACCTTTGAGTTGGACCTGAAAGCTTATGGTAAGCAGTGCAGCCTGTGCAATGAGGTGCTACATGGACATACTGAGGACTGCCCATAAGCTCTTGCCTCATCACAATTGTTGCCAGCTGCAGTTTCCAAATGGAAGCTTGGAGCAGGTCAAATGAGAGACACTTCACTTTTCATTTTGGCTGACAAAAGGCAAATTTAAAAAAATGTACAGGATGTTGCCACTACAGTAGATACCATCCACAAAACCACTACAGTAAATACCATCCTCCAACAATACAGCTGAGACATGTAAGTCACTGTCCTTACTATATTTCTAATAGCTATTTCCTGCCCTATCACATAACACCTAATTCATCTAGTATGCCTGAGTTTACTAAATACAGGCATGTTTAAAATTTCATGATTTAAGAGCATATCATTGGCAACTTGATACTACATAATGGGTTTAATAGTCAAATGGGGGGGGGGGAATACCAAGCAGGGGAAAAGTCGTTTCAAACTCTTCACTAAAGAATTAGGACTATCTGCTAGCCTGAATAGCCAATCTGGCAAAGTATCACTGAGCACAGAAGGCTATGCTTCCAATATCACGCAGTCCACACAATATTTCTCTAATAAGTGCTTACTCCATGCTTTGCTGGAAAATACATACTTATTCCAAGACTATTAAAAAAATCCAGTAACTGCATATTAAAAATACATCAAATGTTTCATCAGCCATAAGCTTATCCTCATTGCACATGACAGAAACTTAGGTTAGAAATGATTGGCTTCCTCAACACAGAACTAAATATTTACTCTCTGGGCAAGCTTAAAGTTCTACTGTTTATAGGGTACATCTGCCATTTTAAGAAGAATGGACTGAAATGGCAGATTGTTTCCTATCCATTTTCCATCTGTGAGAAAGGGGTGGGAAACAATTTCATTCCACATTATCATCCATTAGTTTCAATGGGGAGGAAATTGCCCGAAGCAATAGGAAATAGAACAGGATTTCAAAGTGAATGGCTCCAATCTTGGAAACCTTTCAGGAGGGCCAAAAGAGAACCAAGGCTCCTTTTAATCTGCCTAGGTTTAAGGCCTTCTGCCAGTAGAAACAGCTATGTCTCCAGTTTGATCCCAGTTTTGATCTCTGCTCCATCAATGAAGCTACTTTTTCAATATGTAAAACTACATAATTTGCATACTTGTAGATTTTGTAGATAAATTCTCTGCATGTTCAGCTAGAACACCTATTTGTTAAATCAGCACAAAAGCTAATATTTCTGTACAGACAAAACTGTACAGAAGTGTTTATTTGCAGAAGTAAATTTACCCAATACTAGAATAATGCAAGAGTGATGAGGAAAAAATAGAAGTGATTTGTATGGTAAATTCAAATGATGGAAAATAGGAAGTATCACCACACCTCTAATACAAATCCTTTTCCAATAGATTATGAATATCCAATTAAAGATCCAATCCTTTATTCTTATCCTCACAAAATCAGCACTCTGATGCTCTGGGCTAAAACCATTTTTGTGGCAAATAAAATCTCCTACGCTCCCTATCTGGTCAGAGGGGAAAAAATCCCACCCTTTCTCTTTCTGCAAAAGGGAAGAATAAATGTAATTACCTCCTCCTACATTCCTCACTCCTTTATCTTGCTTTTATCTTTTCTTCAGAGGATCTTATCTTTTCCACCCAAATCTTGATAGCTTGCCTTACGGGGAAGCAGGACAGATTATACCCTGTCTGCAAGGCACTTGTGACTCCGGCATCAAGTGAGCAGTTCCAACACAGGCTAAAAGGAAGGCAATATCTACAAATCTGGGCTGCTTACATTACAATAAACTGATACATCTGTATGCATTTGTTATAGGAAATGAGGACAAGCCTTTGCGGGTACATATATACATATAAATAAAATTACACATTTTGTTTTGAAACGTTTATCTTTGGGACTAAGGCAGGGTTAAATCCTAAAACAGGTTAGCATTTGAAGTTCTTCCTTTAAAAACACAAATGTGTGTTGCAGCATTAAATATATTAAAGCCTTGCTAAACCATTTTAAAGTTACATTTAAATGGCTTAAATGCTGGAGCTGAGTATCTAAAGAACAACATGCTTGTCTATGTAATGACATAGGGAAGGTAGTAACTGAAGGGAAGCATTCAATTGGCTAGTGGTTACCAGCATCTCTGAATCAATATAATGCAGCCATGGGCTAGAACCAGAAAGTCCCAAGTACAAATTAATTTTAAGGCACAAAAATGTCTTTGTCTCTTTCCATCAAAACCTACTACTCACAGACTGCTTGCAAGGAAAAATTAAAAGAGTACTATGTATGCCACTTTCAACTTTTGGAGGAAAGACACATGAAAAGCAAATAAATAAATATCCTGTGCTAGAAATGAAAACAAGGGCGAGTACACTGGAAAATGTTACTTATCACCTCAACAACAAAGCAACTTTGTTTTTATGTTCTGGGACTTAATTAAAACAACTATGAGGAAGTGAAATTAAATTACTCACACACATATTTTCTGAATGTTTTGAACAAATTCCAAAATTCTTGGGAGTATGTCAAGAGGCTATGACTAAAACCAGAAAGTTGTCAGAAAAGGAAAAAACAAACTGGAAGGGTTTTTTCCCCCCTGATTTTTAGTTTTCTACATTCATCCCCACATCTGTAAAATGACCCAAGAGAATCTAGCTGGGAAAAGCTGATTTACAATTTGCTATGTACCAAGGCTCAGAGTAACATTACCCTCCAGCTTTAGATAAACTGATTACTAGAAGCTCCTTCTCGTGTGATTTCACAATGAAAGAGATTGGAAAGACATTGTACTTTGAATCTGTGTGGAGACAGAACAAATAAAAAGAATAGTTTGAAAGGACCGTAAACACTTCTTAACAGGAAAATGAAGCTTTCCGATTTTTTAAAAAATGGTCCCACAATAACAGGAGACAGAAGTCTGCTTTGGCAGAAGCAACAGCAAGAGATTCAATAACTTTCCCTGTAAGAATTAATTTTTGTCTATTCTTCCCTAGTGGGCATTTATGCTTTATATGTGGAGTTTCCAAGAAATGAAAGTGTATCCCATCTATTCTGAGGGGGAAACAATCATGCAATAAGAACAATCAGGAAGTGGGGGAAATGAACTCTGGGCTGCTTTGGCCTTCAAAATATCTCAACTCTTTCTCTTCCCAGTCCACAAATGGAGTCCAGTTACTTGTTTTCAGTTGTAAGACTACATCTAGGATTTCGTTCCATTACACTTAACAGAATTTTCTTCCTAACAGACCCTTATGGGTTTGGGCCAAATCCTAAACCAAAGTCGGTTCCCGGCTTGAAAACTTTAAATGATCGAGGAGAAGAAGATAAAGAGGAAGAGTCGATTTCCGCTTTAGCACAATAGCCTCGCCAGGCTATGGTGGAGAGGTAGCAGGACCCACCCAAAGCCACACCGTTTCCGAGCAGTCATTCGCCGATTGTGCAGTACGAAAGCCAATCCAGCTCAGACAATGGGGACAATGGGGTCAACCAGAGAAGCGGCGACGCACCTCACCAGGTGTGCAAATCGAGTACAAAAATGAGGTAGGAAAATCACCGCTCGCCTGAAGGCTTCGGGTTGTCTCTTCCTCTCCCTTTCTAAGCGGCTGCGCATGAATGCAACACTTCCCGGCCTCCTCCGGGCGGGTGGCAGCGCATCTTCACTGCAGTGCGCCAAGCCGCGGAGGGAGAGGTGGCCATCTCTTGCCTACCGCAGCTGCCTCTCCCCCCCCCCCCAGCCACTCCACCGCCCCTGATCTACGCAAACCAGTCACCGTCGTGGCATGAACTATATCAACCTCGATCCTCCCCACCATCGCTCAGGGCGCCGCTTCTTACCTCCTACGCAGCCTGCGAGGAAATCCAGCGCCATGATCGCTTTGCCCGACGCGTGTTTTTCAAGCTTGAAGCGTTTAAAAGGCGCCTTGCTCCGGGTTTTTGTTTTGTTTTTTGTTGCGATGCACCTTGTGACTCCAAAGATTGTAACGAGTTTCCTTACGGAATAGAGGAGAGGTTCGGCTTCCTCCAAGTCCGAAGGGAGGAAAGAAATCCAGAGGCTCCTTGCGGTGGGAAACTCGTCCTTTCTTTGACTCCTTGGCTCCCTTGCGTTCTGACAGCGAGCCAGGGAAATCCAGGGCGCCCTTCGAACCGGCGCGTTCCTCCCTCGTTTGTCGCCAAACTGGACCGAGTCGTTTCTATTTCTGACGCCAGCGAGAGGAGGGGGAGACCGAGCCTTATGGGGAAAAGGCAGCCTCCAATAGGAGGCCTCTTGCAAGACAACGCCTTTCCAGTTAAGCCCTTCGCTCCGACCGTTCATTGGGCGATGCGCTGGGCGGCATCTTGCCACTGGAAGGCAGAGGCTGCAAAAGACTCGAAGTGGTGGGGAAGGAGGGAGCGCCACCTACTAGACCTGGGCGAATACCAGTCTCTGCTGTTGTGGCAGTGCATCTGCGCAAGGCTGGGCAGCTGCTGCGGGTTTAAGGCCGCTTTAGGGGCGGCGCGCTCGCTCTTATTCAGTGGAAGATGCGCGGGCAGTTACGCACTGATGCCGCGTGGGCTCCTGCCCAGCGATTCATGTTCGGGGGATGAGAAGATTGTTCGCCCTCGTGTTAATGCGGATTGCAAACTGAGAAACCGATCTGGGCAGCCTGAGGACGGAGGCAGGAGAAGTGGGATGAACTGGAAGGCCAAATCTGCCACTGTGCTGGTTACCTCAAAGATAGCTTCAGTGTGGCTTGCTTTCGATAGACATGCACAACGTTACATCATGAAGCGGGTCGGTGATTTTGGTTTTCAGAGACGAAGATGGCCCTGGGAATTCCCAAGGAGAATGTAATGGTTGTATTCGGGAGGCATATTGAGCCACGATGCATTTTTTTTTTAAAAAAAATTGAGGTTTAGTTTGTAGTCCAATGTCGTGGGAACCCAGGATTAATTAAATAGACAATGATTGTTGACCATGGGTATGTCTGTCATGCAGACGTTTGCCTACCAGTACTACTCAGTGCTTGTCCCCTGTAAATATTTTGGGAGGGCTAGCTTTGTTAGTCTCACAATAACATCTCTTATTGTCTACTAGTATTACTCATTGCTCATCCCCTGAGATGTATGCCGCTTGTTAATATTTTAGGAGGGAGGCCTTGTTAGTCTCAGAAAAAACCCTCAACAGGTAGTTTTTTAACCTTGACAACTTTAAGATGTGTGGTCTTCAACTCCCAGAATTCTCCATACTAAGCGGAGAATTCTGGGAATTGAAGTCCACCCATCTTAAAATTGCTAAGGTTGAAAAACACTAGGCTAACTTAAAAGGCAACAGTTCATTGTATAACCTTTTACAGAACACAATTCCATGAAAGAAGAATTAGATACCATGCATAGTTACTAAGAAATGGGGGAGTAGCATAAGCTAAGAACTAATGTTGGGCATACCGAAGATACCATTTCAGAATCATACAAACTACACTTCCAGGTGAAATCCAAAGAGTGAAAATAGTGCGTTCGTATGACATGCTCAACTGTACAATCTGGCTCAGTCCATGAGTAAATGTATCCAGTGACCTGATGCCAAATGACCCAGCAAACTAAGGATAGTTTTGATTTGCTTGGAAGCAGCTGTCTTGGCTGGTACCCCAGCTGCTTTTGCAATGGTTGGCAAGCTTTCCTTGCCTTTTCTTTTTTTTTAAAGAAACCAATTGTAAAAACAACGAATGCACCTCTGTGGGTAGCCTGGTGGGCATTAGGGTCATGAGGAATAGCATGTTACACAGCAGCTTCTCTGTCCATTTTTCTGCCCCTAAGTGACTGCATGAAAAAAGCTGGAGAAGAACGCAATCTTGTTTTATAGTTGCTCTAGTCTAGACTCATGAATCCAGAGGCCAGAACACTGTTGATTTTGAAGTAATTTTCCATTTATGAGGAAGTTGAAAGGAGTAGATCTATAAGATAGATTGCTAAAAACTGCAGTTTATGCCCTTTACATTAATCACACTTTGACCTGGCTTTCCACAGCATATTGCATCCAGAAATAATCTAACAGATAATTTATATATGACTATGCTATTGACTTCTGACAGTTGCTTCCTGTGTCTTTTCCAAATAAACTTGTTTAGTTATGTCATGTAAATCACAAGATGCCTTTTTTTCTTTGACAAATGAATATTAGTTTTAATCTGTGAAATTTAAATTTAATCCTTTATTTTATTCCAGAATTGCTCATGGTGGAGCTTTCTATATATATCTTTTCATATGACTTGTGCCTGTTTTGCTGCATGAAATGAAAATGAATACCCCCAAGTACAATATCTCATGACATTCTTTTCAAAGGCATTGATAATTTCTGAAAGCAATGGGAGAGACCAGGCAAAGCTCTGCTCTCCAGCAAGAAGTTAAATATTGCTTTTCTCATTAGTATGTAAAATATCCATTGGGGTTACTATTGAAATCCCTCTTAAAATATACATTCATCTCAATGTAGTTTACGTTTAATTATTCTGCTCTTAACATTTATTTCCTCTATGTGGTCATGATAATCAACACAGTTTTATAATTTACGTAGGCTGGTAACCTGTGTAGGAACTTTAACATCTGTGTTATTATATACTGATGGCATAATAATTTTGACATCTTATTTTGTACCAGTCTCAGCTTCTGAATCATCTCCAAAGGTTGCTTGCATGGAACATGTTATGATAGTCTAATAGCTGTTGATTGGGGTGTGAGTAATTGTTATTATGGTATCCTGGTCAAGATAGGATCATGTACTCACCCACTCCACCCCACCCCCTACTGGGACTTCTACCTTCGGTCCTTGGAATAGTCAAGGGTTAAGGAGGATTTTTTGAATATATAAATGTTATTAAATGTTGTTTTAAATGTTAGGATAAAAACTAAAAAAACCTAATACTGAATAAAGAACACAGAAAAAGAAACAAGACAAAGGTGAAAAAAAGAAAAGATAAAAAGAAATAGAAGCAGCTTCTGATTTTCTTTTCAGGAAATACAAGAGTAATTACAACATTATCTCTTACCCTATAGTTCCAGAAAAGTTTACTTTTTCTATTATCTATTTTTTTCCTAATTATTAAAACAACATGTCACAAGTGCATTTTTTTCGGTTTCGTGCAAAAAATTTGTAAGGTATTTCGAATCAAACATAAATGTAAATGTATTTTCTTTAACCAAGGAATTTAATTTAGTCATCTCTGCAAGTTCCATCATCACCAACTATTTCTTTGTTGCAGATAATGCTGAGCTTTTCCACTTTTGAGCATATAATAATTTTGCTGCAGTTGTCACATACAGTATAAAGACAAAGTCCAGTGCCTTTTTCTAACCGTCTATCCCAGGGGTAGGCAACCTTGGCTCTTTTATGATTTGTGGACTTCAACTCCCACAATTCCTGAAGTCCATGAGTCATAAAAGAGCCAAGGTTGCCTGCCCCTGGTCTATTTCAAAAGAAATGCCTCAATTGTATTCAGTTGTCTTTAAAATCTTCTGAATTAGTGTATGCATTTGTATTCACATTTTTTGTTTTTTTAACACATCTACCAGATGCAATAAAAGGTCCCTTCATATTGTTCACATTTCCAACATAAATTTAAAATACCATGGCGCATTCTAGACAATTTCTCTGATGACAAATACCAACAGTACTTCATTTTATAAAATTCTTTCAAAAATAATGTTCTTTCAAAAATAAATTTCAGTCCTCTCGACTACATATTTTCCCATTGATCCATTTGTGTATTATAATCACAATTATTTTACCCCATTATGTCATGCATTCTTTCACTTGTTCTTCTGATCAAGTTTCACCAAAAGTTTACACATTGTAGCAATATTCTTCAGTATTTGTACATAATTTTGTTACATTGTCAAAACCACAAATGTTTTATCCATTTTAAACTTAACTATATACAGTGGGGCAAAAAAGTATTTAGTCAGCCACCAATTGTGTAAATTCTCCCACTTAAAAAGATGAGAGAGGCCTGTAATTGTCATCATAGGTAGACCTCAACTATGAGAGACAAAATGAGAAAACAAATCCAGACAATCACATTGTTTGATTTGGAAAAAAATTATTTGCAAATTATGGTGGAAAATAAGTATGTGGCTCTCACAGACCTGTAACTTCTTCTTTAAGAGGCTCCTCTGTCCTCCACTCATTACCTGTATTAATGGCACCTGTTTGAACTTGTTATCAGTATAAAAGACACCTCCCACAACCTCAAACAGTCACATTCCAAACTCCACTACGGTGAAGACCAAAGAGCTGTCGAAGAACACCAGAAACAAAATTGTAGACCTGCACCAGGCTAGGAAGACTGAATCTGCAATAGGCAAGCAGCTTGGTGTGAAGAAATCAACTGTGGGAGCACTAATTAGAAAATGGAAGACATACAAGACCACTGATAATCTCCCTTGATCTGGGGCTCCACGCAAGATCTCACCCCGTGGGGTCAACATGATCACAAGAACGGTGAGCAAAAATCCCAGAACCACGCAGGGGGACCTAGTGAATGACCTGCAGAGAGCTGGGACCAACGTAACAAAGGCAACCATCAGTAACACACTACGCCGCCAGGGACTCAGATCCTGCAGTGCCAGACATGTCCCCCTGCTTAAGCCAGTACATGTCCGGGCCCGTCTGAAGTTTGCTAGAGAGCATTTGGATGATCCAGAAGAGGATTGGGAGAATGTCCTATGGTCAGATGAAACCAAAGTGGAACTGTTTGGTAGAAACACAACTCGTTGTGTTTGGAGGAGAGAGAATGCTGAGTTGCATCCAAAGAACACTGTACCTACTGTGAAGCATGGGGGTGGCAACATCAAGCTTTGGGGCTGTTTCTCTGCAAAGGGGCCAGGATGACTGATCCGTGTACAGGAAAGAATGAATGGGGCCATGTATCGTGAGATTTTGAGTGCAAACCTGTAAGGGCATTGAAGATGAAACATGGCTGGGTCTTTCAGCATGATAATGATCCCAAACACACTGGGATCATTATCATGCAACGAAGGAGTGGCTTTGTAAGAAGCATTTCAAGGTCCTGGAGTGGCCTAGCCAGTCTCCAGATCTCAACCCCATAGAAAACCTTTGGAGGGAGTTGAAAGTCCGTGTTGCCCAGCGACAGCCCCAAAACATCACTGCTCTAGGGGAGATCTGCATGGAGGAATGGGCCAACATACCAGCAACAATGTGTGCTAACCTTGTGAAGACTTACAGAAAACGTTTGACCTCTGTCATTGCCAACAAAGGGTATATAACAAAGTATTGAGATGAACTTTTGATATTGACCACATACTTATTTTCCACCATAATTTGGAAATAAATTCTTTCCAAATCAAACAATGTGATTGTCTGGATTTGTTTTCTCATTTTGTCTCTCATAGTTGAGGTCTACCTATGATGACAATTACAGGCCTCTCTCATCTTTTTAAATGGGAGAACTTGCACAATTGGTGGCTGACTAAATACTTTTTTGCCCCACTGTATAGAAATATGATTGGCAAGTATATTCTTCCATTATCAATTCTTCCCTTGAGTTTATTTTAGATTCCTCTTGAGAAAGTTTTTGAATATGACAAGTTAGCTGTTTATGTTTACTTATTATTTCTCGTGTATAAAATGCTTCTTGTGCTGAAAGCTACCAGTGTTTTTGGGCACAGTCTAGATTTGCATTTATTTAATTTCTCAAAATGGCACACCTGATGAGAAGTTGCAAGTCATAAAGTAACTTTTTCTGATGTGACTTCACCAGAATATTGTTATTAGATTTCTGAGATGTTCATTAACAAACAGCTATTCCATCTTGGAAGAATTTAATCTGACTTTGTTTTGCCCCATTCAGATCTTTACCACCTTCAAGACGATCATTTATAGCTCAGTATTTTCTATATGTTGATGAATATTCCTCCTTATTCTGATTCTGATTTAAAAATGCCTTCTTTTAAATCAAGTCAGATAGATAACTTAATAGAAATGATTTCATAACAAAAAATATTTTAATCAGAAAGATTATTTGCATTCATGACGGTTGTTTCTGACAATACATCTCTTGTCCATTCCTATAGGTAAAAGAATGATGCTCTCTTCCATATCATCTTTATAACGGTGCAGGCTCATCGGGTGACATCTGATGGCCCATACTTCTTTCAGATAAAGACATTTCAATCTGGCTTGTGTCCAGGAAGTCTCCCAATGCCCTTTAGAGACTCCTCCCACTGACCCATTAACAAATCAGCATTTAACCCAATAACTGCCAGATATTCTAACATACTGATACATGCTCTCTAGTTAGGGTTACATAGAGCTATATGAGGTTACATAGAGTTATACGGTCCAGAACACTCCTAAACCAATGGATGACTTTTCTCAGAGGTTGCATATAAATATTTAATAACATAAAGGAAGTGATCATGCCAAGAAGAAGACAAGAGTTCAATCACTGCTGCTTCATGAACCCTAACTGGAACCATTCACTTAGATGGGAGTGAATGTACCAAAGAACGATGCCCCAGCTTTCCATTGTTGTGAAGGGGTCCAGTGTGCTCCTTGGTCAATGATACTGAACACCATCAAGAAGTCTAATAGGGCCAAGAGGGGCCACTTTTGCAATCTAAGCCAAAATATAAATCATCTATAGTGCAACCAGTGTTCCATGAGCAGGCCTGAGTATTGACTAAAATGACCCAAATTATATATATATATATATATAAAACCTGAGGAAAAAAATAGCCAGATCCAGGGTGATCTTTCTCAGGAGATAGCATAAATGAAATGATGTCTTTTCTAATGAAGTGCTAATAACCTCCTACATCTATTTGTTAAATGCTGTCAAAGAGCCAGGAAAGGCATGGATCAAATCCATGAGTAATACCATTCTGACTACCGAGGACCATATTCACTTTCTCAAGCCTGACAAAAGAATCCCAGATAACTCCGCAAGGTATTTCTTCATTCATCACCATAGACTGTCCAATTGGCATCCAAGCCAGAGCACATTTCAAAAACATGAGCTGCTGCGGATGAACATAAAGAAAACCTGTGTTATCTATATTTTCTGAAACAGTCTAGTAATAAAAACAGGAAGCTGGATTAGATGAATGTTCTATCTGATTTGGTAAAGTTAATTCTTGC